TCTGAATTGAAATTGTAGATCTTCAAGTACGCATTAGCCCTGGAAAAACAGGTTTTAAAAACTGGCAATTACTCCACTTCCGATTAATACTAAAATTTATTTCAATTTTTTGTCGTATTGCGTCATGACCTCATATCTGATAATAGCTTTTTCTATACTTTCTTCACTGGAAAAAAAATTTTCCATAAAATACCTTAAAATTAAAATATTTTATAGAATTTCTATAAATATCCTCTAATAGTATATAAAAATTCTTGCTTAGTTTGCTGTTTCCTTAGTTTCAATAGTAATTAATAGCCTAATGGTTCTAATAGTCAGAAATAAACAAATAAAGCATTAGATTACAACGCAAGAAGAATTATCTCCTCTGAAAATCAAATCAGCAGAAAGTTTCTTGTTAAGAAAAAAAAGAAAAGAATAAGTTTACTGCTCAATAAATTAAACTAAGAATCCTTGCTTATCAGAGGTGTTTAGTCCTCTTATATATATTTGAAAGTAGGATGAAAAGTTCTGTGTTCAGAAAGTTTTTGATCAAACTGTGAGTATGTATCGAGAACTATCATATATATGAGTCATTTATTTGCACTGCGTGAGTCAATACGAGAAAGAAGTTATTTCACGTTCTCTATATATAATAAAATATGGGGTAAAAATCATTTCCCTTGCTCGCATATATATATATGAAAAACATTATATAGAGAAAGTTCATGTCTAGGGTAGAGCAATTGATAACTGATGTCGACGTAATGAAACATTTAAAGTACTTAATGATCCGTGCAAAGAAATCTGACGAGGAGAGGCTTAATAAATTTATCGTTCCTCTTGTTTTTTGTAACGATAAACATTGTACATGTTTACGCTTATGAATTTAATTCTGCTCCTCATTCTTTCGAGGCAATTTTCCCTTTCTATATAGACAATTCGTTTTTAATTCTACTTTATGGCGGGGGATTGTTGAAAATCATTATTTTCTTTTTTAAGAAAGTCGATTTTTAGGGTTACGAACACGAAACGTATGAATATATTGCTTTTTTGAGACAAATTATATTTCTTGCTGGTGGGGAAAAAGAGGTTGAAATTATATATGTATTTTTCAACGTAGAATGTAAAAACAGGGGGAATGATCTAATTCTCCTAACACTAAATTTATTCATCATCAAATATAATACTTTTTTAAATTTATTCATCATCAAATATAATACTGTTTTTAAATTTATTTATCATCTAATATTAATACCTTTGTTAAATCCTTTTCATAGAAGGACAATTATTTTTAATTCTGTTGGAACATGAAATTGCATATTGTACACGAAAAATATTGAAAAATATTGACGGGTTTCCTCTACTCTCTAGTTGGAGAGTAATTAAAAAAAATTTCATTACAATTATAAGGATCGTTTTTTTCCTCAACAAACTTTGCAAATGAAGTTGGTAAAAGTTTTGCTAAAACTGCGTCATAAGTATATAGGAAGGCAAAAAAGAACATTTGCTCGAAAATGCCAGAATTCATTCCGTGATACACGAAATGCTGCAGTTTTAACGAAACGTCGCTAACTTTATATTGATCAAACATTTGCAAAAGAATTATAATAATCGATCTTCCTATTCCGAAGGTTGTCAGAGTTACTATCTCAAACCAGTAAACTTTTTTCACTCAAAAAATGAAAAAATCAAAAAGTTTACTATTGATTTTAAGATGAGGTTATAGAGGAAATAATAAATTTGTGTAAAATTGAAAAATAGTCTTCGAATTTTGGAAATTTTATTTCTTGCTCTGTGGATGAGAAAAAACAAAATTTTGAAAATAACCAAGAGGGTTGAGGGTACCCGCATTTGTACAGATGTTACTATACTTTGTCGGGGAATCAATAAACAACAGTAAGTTTTGAGATTGTGAATTTGTAAATGATGGGTCGTTGTCGCATTTACAGTGCCGATCATTGGAGCACACGAACTTACACACTATACACGTTCGAATAATGCGATGGGAGAGAAAACGAGGTCGCAGGATGCTCTTGATTGATGGTTTGTGGCGTATATATAGTCGGAACGCACACTCTTACTTTGTTATAAGAGTTATGCATTCCGTCACGTGTGCAGTCCAATATGTATCGCAAACGACCAAGGGCGAGCAGACGAAAAAATTAACAATTACACCATAATATCGAACCACCAACTAAAAACAAGTATATTCACCAGAGTAATAATCATTTCCTTAATACTCTGAGTCATATCTTTACCTTGAAGACATTTTTCCACACTTTATAAAACTATCTACTTTTTTATTTTTAAACGTTCACTCTCGCAGTCAGTGTTACATTCTTTATGTTAATAATATTCAAATTATAGAAAATAAAATAAGAAATAAAATTAAAAAATATATTCACTACCAATGAATATTGAGAATATCACCTTCATTAAGATTTTTCGATTCTACTATTTCGTTTGCTTTTATGATTTGTTTTTTATATATATAAAAGAAGCAATGTTTGTCTCAATTTGATATCATTAGAAATAAACTGTCCGCAAATAAAAATTATGTTAATTTACCAAAAAAAAAAATATTAGGTCAACTAGAAAATGGAAAAACTCACAAAATTAAATAATTTGAAATTTATTCTTTCAAATTGAGTATATTTGTGATTACAGTTGAAAATGATTTTCGAGGTCCCATATAACGGAGCGCTTTTAAAAGAGCCATAAAGAGCTCGTAAAATGATCAAACATTAAAGTTGTGATTGACTTTAATTTCGTGAGGACTTACGAACAAAAGATTGCAGTAACGGTATTATTACTTTCATATATATATATATATATATATATATATATATATATATATATATATATCCCAATATGAATATAAATAATAAATATAAATTCCAATGTATGATATAAATTATAAACATAAAAGTGAATTGTTATAAAAGTTAAAACAATACTAAAAAGATAGTAATTAATAACACTGGTTATTATACATGATAATTAGGTCTTACACACCTAACAAAGTGATTATAATATGTGATGAATCAATTACTGCAGGAAAAGAAAAAACAAAAATAAAATTCAAATTAGAGGCAATAAAGATCATTAGTAGCATTAAACACGTTCATAACGAAAATATTTTATTTTTGTTCTTGTCTTTATTTTTAATGAGCATAGCTGTTATGATTCAAAATCAACTTGATTTCAAAATTTTTACGTATTTTAAACGTAAGATTTAAAAAATTCAATTATTTCCAAAAATGTTTTTTTGCCAAAAAATTGCAATATTGGAATTTTTTGCAAACATTCAATTATTTTCATAAATATTAAAACTCATCGCAGGATTTTAATTATTTTTAATATACAATATTCATAAAATTAAAAAAAAAATCAATTATTAAAATAGATTTTTTATAAAATTCTCTGCAAGAATTCAATTATTTAACTCTCGTAGAACTTTCTAATAAGTGTTTATTTAGAATTGAAAAAAATAAAATGATTAAAGTTTTGAATAATTTTGTTTATAAATTTAAATTTAATATATTTTTTATTCTATAAAAATCGTTGCTTCGGGGTTGTATTTTAAGAATTCAAAATGGCGGATCCAATATGGCGGCACGGATTTCTAAGAAATTATCAGATTCATTTCAATCTTGTTACTTGGGAGTTTTGAAACAACAGATTGAATATGGTAAAAGAATTCTAAAATATTCGACTAGTTATATTAAAAAATATAAATATTGACAAAATAATTTTATGTTATCTTAACGAAAAATAACTAGAAAGGAGGAAATAGGTATAACTTTGAACATCTATCTGTAAATGGGAGTAGAAAGGGGAGGAAATCGGAAGGAATGTCAAAGCTGGGGATTTAGAATAAGTACCTAAAGCAAAAGTAATAAACGTACCAGATGCAACTGATTAAAATTGCATCGCAGAGGTCATAATAGTCGCAAAACTGGGAATTTACTCCGAATGAATCAGACATCGGATCCCCCAGGGTTCCCAGGTTTACATAACAACCACCTGAGCGCAGAATGTTCTCTTATGGAATTTATCGATCGTTCATTTCGATATAAGGACATCCCGAAGAGGACAGTTGTCATCTTAGGCAGTTAGGATTTTTCATGGTCTGATCAAAACCGTTACTCAACCATGATCCCAATTGGGCGCCCCCCTTACATTCAATTACATGGTCCATTTTAGTTTATTATAATTTTTATGAAAAGAAAAGAATTTTCGAAATCTACTCGACAAAAGATTTCATTAGCATTAAAGTATATAATCCTCTCTTCTCTCTCTCTCTCTCTCTCTCGGTTGGTTTTTTTTTGTTTTTTTTAAACAAATTACATGACAGGGACTTAATCATGCAAATGGAGTTTTGTGATACTTATTGGAATGAAAAAGGCGTTGTCCAAAGACCTATATTATACCACTCCTTTTTAGTTTTGTTAGTTCGCTTCCATACTACCCACTCTCCAAAGACCAAAAGAAGAAAAATGTCAAGCTTCGTTCGATAACTATAATTAAAAGCCTATTCGTGAATTTCAAAGAAGTCACTTTTATATTTCGTGTCAGCAGACTATCAATCTGAAAATGGTTCACAAATCAGGACAAATAACTATTTTCCTGTCGAATATAATGACATAGGGGGGAAAAATTACGATACATTAAAGAAGCATCCTTTTCATAGAAGGAAAATTGTTTTTATGTCAGTCGGAACTTGAAATTGCATATTGTAAACGAAAACAAATATTAAAACTGTATTGACGCAGTTTTAATTTTTGCACTCAAGGATTAGTCTCTTTATAGGTGGGGAGACTAAACTATTTTCATACTAGATGATGAATAAATTCAAATTTTAAAAATTAATTTTTAACATATTCAATAACTTTCAATGTTTAATCGTATTTTATTTCATAAAGTATATCGTAATTTTAGAATTTAAAAATTATATTTTATCCTCTACTATATTTAAATCTGTGACATAAAAATATCATATTCTTTCTCTGTTTCAGGTGAGTTCTCATTTTTCAACTACTGATACTCTATCTGTAAGTGCTTATTATTTATTTTAACAATATTTTTAGTTTTAAATATTATAGAAACTAAAAATATTTAAATTGTATATAGAAGAAACGTTCGATATAGAAATATAAAAATGAAATTCCGTTGCAGAAAATAATTCTTCACCAAATCATTAAAATTTCCAAATGATTACCCTATTCTCTTTATAACTACACTTCACTCGAATTATGAAACAAAAGATCAAACTAGATCGTAAACATTCCAATAAAAGTCAATTAAATTTTAACTTTAAGACATTTCATCATTGGTCAATTTAATTTCAAATATCAAATAATCCACCTAATTAACATGATTCCATAATCCCTCCCATTAAAGTTTCAATTTTAATAATTAATTTTTAAATTACCCCCATCATTTTTAGTATATTTCACAGCGATCATTGTAAAGTTCTGAAACTCTGTTCGAATCTCTGAAAGTCGATTTCTACAATTTTCTATTATAGTAAAATAATTATTTTATTAGAAAATTTTATTTCATCAAATTTTTTTTTCTGATCTCTTTATATAAATGTTACATTATAATTGAGAGAATATATGATTCAGAAGGCATTTATTTATATAAAATAGAGAGAAAAAGAGAGAGATAGACATTGAAAGTAATCAAAGATATATTATCACTTTCTCTGAAATCATCAGTGCGAATTCGCACGCCTGTCATCTTTTTCCTTTTCAGTGAAAGTGAAAAAAAATCTCAAGATTCATATTTTTCTGATCAATAATATATCTATATATTTATAATGGAACGTATTGAAAATTGACCGTTAATAATTTATGGTCATTTCACCATTTAGTCATTCGTGCAAATCCGACATATCATTAGAGAAATGAAAAGAAAATTTATTCTGCATACGGAATTTGAATATAATAAATTTTATTGTTGATTTTTATTTGATTGCTTCGATCAATATTATTATTATTCAAACCATTAAATAAAGATTCTTAAAAATATTTGTATTTATAATAATCTAAAATTATTTGCTTCTTAGGTACCTTTCTTGGGAGCGCGTCACTTATAATAAAACTAATATTATTATTTTATATTATTTATATTATAATAATTCATATGTATACATAATATTATTATTCTTATTATTGTCATTTATGATTGCTAATTAATTAATAAAAAATGAAATAATAAAATAAAGAAAGAAATCTTATTTAAAAGATTTTCATACTAGATGATGAATAAATTCAGTGTTATAGAAGAAATAGTTCATTAAATTCTTCAACATTTTTCTTGTCTCCTTGTTTTGTTTTTTGAAAAAAATCTTACTAACTCGGTCAAGCAAATAATAATTTTAGAACTTATTAATAAACAGAGCATGGAATTTTTATAAATGAAAAGAAGTTTAAGTTAAAACATTAATAATAATTATTATTATAAAATTATGTGAATTTATCACTTAGTAAAAATAATATAGATAGTATTTTAAAATTATCAATTCATTGCGAATTACCGCAAGCCACCTTTTGGTAACAATTTTTAACTACGGAAATTCTGACAAAAAAATCAGTTTTTGTGTTTTTTAATAATATTTTTGTGTTTTTGTTTTCAATTTTGTTAATAGTTGTTTATCAGTTTCTGGAAAAGTTGCCAGAGTTGTCGAAACGTAACAACATGTTTTTTCTTTCTTGATTTGACTTGGAGAATTGGTAATTTTTACATATTATCTAATAATAATTATTATAATTATGAATATTATAATATTGTATAACCTATGACCTACATATTGTATATTAAATAATATATTATAATAAACATTAGGGAATCTTATGATCTACTTCTTCTAAAAATAAAATTATTCATTTACTTTTTATTTTAGTTTTAGTCATCAACTAGTTTGACAAAGGTCTGGGTAGTTATATCTGTTTGGGTTGTTTTATTCATCATTTAATATTAATACCATTTTTGGGTTTGTATACCTGTTTGGATTGTTTTATTCATCATTAAATATTAATACCATTTTTGGGTTCTAATATGAAAAAGTTCTGGGTTGCTTTATTCATAATTAAATATTAATAACATTTCTGGGTTTGTATATCTGTTTGGGTTTCTTTATTCATCATTCAATATTAATACCATTTTTGGGTTCGTATATCTGTTTGGGTTGTTTTATTCATCATTTAATATTAATACCATTTTTTGGTTCGTATATCTGTTTGGGTTGTTTTATTCATCATCTAATATTAATACCATTTTTGGTTTTGTATACCTGTCTAGTTTTTTTAGTTAACATATAATATGAAAAAGTTTTAGGTTGTTTTATTCATCACCTAATATTAATAAGATTTCTGGGTGTGTATATCTGCTTGGTTGTTTTATTCATCATTAAATATTAATATCATTTTTGGATTCGTATATTGTTTGGGTTGTTTTATTCATCATCTAATATTAATAACATTTATGGGTTTCTATATCTATTTGGGTTGTTTTATTCATCATTTAATATTAATACCATTTTTGGGTTTGCATACCTGTTTGGGTTGTTTTATTCATCATTAAATATTAATACCATTTTTTGGTTCTAATATGAAAAAGTTCTGGGTTGCTTTATTCATAATTAAATATTAATAACATTTCTGGGTTTGTATATCTGTTTGGGTTTCTTTATTCATCATTTAATATTAATACCATTTTTGGGTTCGTATATCTGTTTGGGTTGTTTTATTCATCATTTAATATTAATACCATTTTTGAGTTCGTATATCTGGTTGGTTTTGTTTGTTGTTTTGTTCATTATTAAATATTAATATCTTTTCTGGGTTTGTATATTTGGATTTTCTAATCATCATCAAATATGAAAAAAGTACTTAGTTGTTATATCTATTTAGATTTTTTATTCATAATCTAGTATGAAAATAGTTTTTGTATATGCTATTTATGAAAATAGATTAGTTAAATCAATTAGTCAATTAATTAACAAGCGTAAATTAGTTCGGTTCAGTTAAATTACCCTATTTTCCTAAAGTATCTACAATATAATACTAAAACATTATAATAATTTTCTAATAATTTTTCTTTAAAATTTTAATTTAATGCTGATTACTGATGACAACAATTCATTTGCAGGACGAATGCCAACAAGTTTTTGAAATTGGCAAATTTAATGTTTAAGTTTGCTCAATATTGTGAATTAAAATTAATTGATGACCATATAGCACACTTTAGTTGTATATATATATTTGAGAAACGGAAAGGAAACGTGCTTCATTATAAATTCGATCGAAAGCCATGAGCGTTTGGTTTTGCTGCTTGGGTCAAGGTTCTGCCACCAGCAAGATCATCGTACTCGTCGGGCAAAGGCATCCTGTCGAATGTCAAAGGTCACTACGCCTCGATCTCAAACGCCTCTTCACGAGCACACCTTAAATAGCTATTATTTTTTTAAATCCTCTATTTTACGCAAAAAAAAAAGAAAAGAAAACATTTCATTACATCAATTAACTTTTAATAAATTTACTTTCTTTGCGCAATTTGTTCCTTTCACCATATTTTGACCATTAAGATTATTATATTACTCTTCATCATAACCACCTTGTTATGCATATACATAGAAATCTAAAAATAATTGACTCGAGTGTTTGCGATTATTTAATCATTTGTTACGTGATTCTTGTTTTACATTTTACAACCAACAATAAAAGTATAAAAATACTTAGATCAAAAAAATGTTTCATGATTTTAGAAGTGTCGTATTTTTAGTGTCATAAATTATTTACCATTAAAGTCACGTTCTTTGGGAGAGTTGTTTGCACACTTTTTTCTTCTTTTTTTTAATGAGATGGAGTAATTTATTTAATAGTTAGTAATTCAAATAAGACTTCCGTTTCGTGTGCTCTTATAATAAAAGTCTCGACTACATTGCGGTCTTAATGAAAATCTTACTTGTGATTTTATTTCTCATTTCCGGTATTATCTCCACATGATATATTATACATATGATGATTTGCAGTTACGGGGCAGTTTTCTCTCTTTTTAAAATTTTGTATTAAAATAATTATTATTATATTAAAATAAAATTTTTCGTGGGAGGAAACAAATTCTTTGGTTGTATTTCTGAAAAGTTTTCCCTTTAAATAAATTTACTATCTAAATGTAGAAGATAAAAAGAATTTCCAGATTGTTTTTATGAAATGGTAAAAGTAAGAATGTGTAAGATTCATTGAAATAAAATGTAAAGTTCAAGGGGTCAAGTGGAACTTCCGTGATTTGTTAATATGCTGCGGTGAGAGTGGTATGCCTTCTGTGTATGTAATTCTTACATTAAGCTGCTTATTTTAAATACAGTTGCGAGTGAAACTAAAAGGGTCGGGTTTAATTAAAGGTTGCCACTTTTGGAAACGGTCCCGTATGAGCTGGTAAAGTGGTATTTTTCACATTATGCTGGCGCCCACATCAGACAACGGAGTTAAACTCACGCCTAACGAGAATCGATTTTAGGTTACCATCGTTTATTACCTTAATCGCACATTCAAGGTTTTTTTTATTTAATTTTCTTAATGTTGAAAAACTGGTATAAGTGCTGATTAATTTTCTTCAAACGGAGCACTAAAGATATTGCAGTTTGCACAATTTATCTTAAATTTACTATTCTTTTGCAATTAGAGAAGTAATCCGCGAGGGTTAAATAAAAGTTTTGGGTTGTTATATCTATTTTGGATTTTTATTCATCATCTAGTATGAAAACCTTTCTGCGTTTGTATGTTTGTTTAGGTTGTTTTATTCATCATCTAATATTAATAACAGTTCTGGGTTTGTATATATGTTTAGGTTTTTTAATCATCATCTAATATGAATAAAGTTCTAGGTTGTTTTATTCATCAATACTAATAACAGTCGTGAGATTGTATATTTATTTGGATTATTTTATTCAGCCTTTAATATTGATAACATTTCTGGGTTTTTATATCTGTTAGGGTTTTTAATCATCATCTAATACCGTAAAATTCTTGGTTATTATATTTAT